CCCGTTAATCGCCTCTTTCGACAAGCATAGTCGCCTTTTACGGCAAGCATGGGATGCTGAAGACTTATTCTTCCCCGGATCTTCACGGGTCCACAGTTCGTTAGAGTTGACAGACTCTAACAATGCAATACTTCATTATTTTTATCATTGCACATTGAATTTCGTGATATAATGGACTCATATAGACAATGAAATTCATCTTCACCAATATGTTTGTCACATATTACACAAAATCGACATCGTCTAGGTTCCCCTTCCTATCTTCAAGTATTATTATGTAAGGTAATTATCCAGTTCGTAATAACACTCAAAACTTAGGAATGCTTGCTTGATACATATCGAGAGAAGAACAGCTTTGAATGTCAGAGAATAGAGACGGAACATGACAGTAATTTATCCCTAAGTAAAATTCATTCAGAAAAAGCTGCTTCATCAACCACTCCCTGGGCTTCCCAGACAAATCCAAATCCAGAACTAAACAGTCTGAGAATAAAAACAACACAATAAACCCATGTCCTGCCAATGTGATCTAAATTACACAACATAAAATTGTTTTGGATCTAAATAATGGGTACGTGTGGTAGTGGCGTTTTTCTGTCGTGACAGCAGGTGCGCGTGTATGGAAGTTGATTACAAGAACAGCCATCGTTGAGAGAATATGCTTGCGTTAGAGACATAAAACATCTTGTGGAAATCCCAGGCTCACTTCCGTAATGGTGAGGTGAGGTGAAGTGAAATTGGGTTTAACGTCGCGTCCAAGATTATTGCACTTATATAGCGACGTGCATGCATGCGTGTGTGTGTGTGGCTGCTTGTACTAGTCCGGACTGATGCCGATTTAAAGTGCTAGCCCACTGAGATACAATGCCGCAGTTTAGCATGAATACCCCACTGACACAGTATACTGACTCCGAGCCGACCAGTCCTTGTTTTAGCCCCTTAATGCCGAGCGCCAGACAGGGTAACAACAAGTACCATCTTTTAACGTCTTTTGGTATGACGCGGCCGGGGATCGAACCCCGGACCTTCCGCTCTCCGGGCGGACGCTCTACCACTAGACCACGGAGGCGGTACTTCCGTAATGGCCAAATTGTAGTGAGGTGAGGTGAAATGGGATTTAACGTTGCGTTCATTATTATTGCTCTTATATAGTGACGTACATGCACGTAGGTTTGTACTAGTCTGGACGTGGGGCGGTCGGGTAGCCTAGTGGTTAAAGCGTTCGCTCGTCACGCCGAAGACCCTGGTTCGATTCCCGACATGGGTACAATGTGTGAAGCCCATTTCTTGTGTCCCCCGTCGTGGTATAGCTGGAATATTGCTAAAAGCGGCGTAAAACCATACTCACTCACTTGTCTAGACGTACGCCGGTTTTATAGAGCCCGTTGAGGCCATGCGGCACTTTAACATTGATACCTGACTCAGACACAGTATTCTGACTCCGAGCCGAACTTGCTGCCCGGGCACCATCCAATCAGTATTATGTGATAACTACGCTATGACAAGAAGGTATGGCATGATAACTCTAATTGTTCCTGAACAGTGTGTTGTGACGTTTTGGATGGAGGTACCGTTTCCATATATTAAAATTTCAGCTTGAAAGCTCAAATATGAGCACAAGTAACAGAATGTCACTCGCCGTCTTAAAAATACCTGTCTGAGTCACCGTTAGTTTATGCAGCTTCAACATACCGATCTAAGTCACCATTTAATGCAGCTTCAACATACCTATTTAAGTCATCGTTAGTTAATGCAGCTTGAACATACCTATCTAAGTCATCGTTAGTTAATGCAGCTTGAACATACCTATCTAAGTCATCGTTATTTAATGCAGCTTCAACATACCTATCTAAGTCACCGTTAGTTAATGCAGCTTGAACATACCTATCTAAGTCACCGCTAGTTAATGCAGCTTGAACATACATGTACCTATCTAAGTCACCGTTACTTTATGCAGCTTGAACATACCTATCTGAGTCACCGTTAGTTTATGCAGCTTGAACATACCTTTCTAAGTCACCGTTAGTTAATGCAGCTTCAACATACCTATCTGAGTCACCGTTAGTTTATGCAACTTGAACATACCTATCTAAGTCCCCGTTAGTTAATGCAGCTTGAACATACCTAACTAAGTCACCGTTAGTTAATGCAGCTTCAACATACCTATCTAAGTCCCCGTTAGTTAATGCAGTTTGAATATACCTATCTAAGTCATCGTTAGTTAATGCAGCTTCAACATACCTATCTAAGTCACCGTTAGTTAATGCAGCTTCAACATACCTATCTAATTCATCGTTAGTTAATGCAGCTTCAACATACCTATCTGAGTCATCGTTAGTTAATGCAGCTTCAACATACCTATCTGAGTCAGCGTTAGTTAATGCAACTTGAACATACCTATCTGAGTCGCCGTTAGTTAATGCAGCTTCAACATACCTATCTAAGTCACCGTTATTTATTGTAGCTTGAACATACCTATCTAAGTCACCGTTAGTTAATGCAGCTTCAACATACCTATCTACGTCATCATTAGTTTATGCAGCTTGAACATACCTATCTAAGTCACCATTTAATGCAGCTTGAACATACCTATCTAAGTCATCGTTAGTTAATGCAGCTTGAACATACCTATCTAAGTCATCGTTATTTAATGCAGCTTCAACATACCTATCTAAGTCACCGTTAGTTAATGCAGCTTCAACATACCTATCTAAGTCATCGTTAGTTAATGCAGCTTGAACATACCTATCTAAGTCACCGCTCGTTAATGCAGCTTGAACATACATGTACCTATCTAAGTCACCGTTACTTTATGCAGCTTGAACATACCTATCTGAGTCACCGTTAGTTTATGCAACTTGAACACAGTATTACCTATCTAAGTCACCGTCAGTCCATTCAGCATGACCAAACCTGCATTGAAATCTGCGTTACTTCATGCAGTTCTAAATGCAAGTGAGTCTTCACATTAAAATAATCAATTTGAACATACACACCACTATACTAGTTTCAAAACAGAAATATGACATACCCATAGCAAACAAAACCAGAACTGAATACTCAGTGTGAGAAAGATGTCAGAATGTCAGATCACATTTTCGTACTTAAATCCCAACATTTACGGTAGGAATTGTTCATAAGCTGTTTCATTTCGACACATTTCTCAAATACGATATTACAATCGAGCTGTTACTATAGTGCCTCCATAAGAGACGAGCATCCAATGGTGTGTTCACAATGATCTCGCCATGACCTCGACAATAGAACAGGTTTGTACGTGTTGATGATATCAACACTGACAGCTTAATGGCAGCATTAATACCATTCTTATAACAGATTGGCCGCCGGTCAATACAACTGACCACTGACTGTATAACATCTCCACAAGACAGTACACCTCTCGATGTTATTAAACGCAGGCACGACCTTCCACTAAACGTCCATCAAACCTCAGACGGAGACAGTGTTACATCCAGAAGCACTCGAACCGAGCCTCTTGGGAGAGTCACTACCACAGTCAATAAACGAGGTTGGACCATCTCTCTTCTGGGAGTGTTTGGACACAGGCACGTCTTCGGAGTGAGACATCTGATCTGAAGAGATCGGGGGAACTTACTTCTCTGACCTCTACATCGAGGTCGTGATGGCTGTAGAGGTCACGATGGACTCATAGTATGACACAGACGGACAACCGGCTCGTGGAGTCGTTTCTCTCTGCGATTGGGATGGGATGACCATGGGATGACCATGATGGATTACGTGCCCGGCCTCAACAGTGTGTTATCACGACAGGGCAAGGCGTTTGTCAATAGAAACTAATGGTAGCACTCAAGGATGGGTATTATCTGTGCAATGTTAAACTGAATGTCATTTCGCGAACACCTAGTGTCCTCGCTGATGAGCAGTGATCCATTCATATAAGTTTCACCGCTATTTCGCCTTTTACGCCCAATGGAATCTGTTTCGGCGGATAATCGAGACTGGCGTTGAAGTTTTATATTTACATAATAATAAATATGGTATATATAAAACTTCAAGAATATTTCATGAGAATATTTCATAAGTGTTTAAAGGTTAGGTTTAATGCGGTTTAACTCCGCGTTCAAGATTATTGCATTCATATTCCATAGCGACGTGCATGAATGTGTGCGTGTGTGTATGCGTGCGTGTGTGTGTGTGTGCGTGCGTGCGTGTGCGTGTGTGTGTGTGCGTGCGTGTGTGTGTGTGCGTGCGTGCGTGTGTGTGTGCGTGCGTGTGTGCGTGCTTGTGTGTGTGCGTGCGTGTGCATGTGTGTGTGTGTGTGTGTGTGTGCGTGCGTGTGCTTGTACTAGTCCGGACAAATGCCGGGGTTATAGTGCTAGCGAGATACCATGCCGCAGTTTAACATGAATACCCCACTCAGACACAGTGTACTGTCTCCGCTCCGACCAGTCCTTGTTTTAGCCCCCTATTAGTCTTTTGGTATGACGCGGACGGGGATCGAACCCCGGACCATCCGCTTTCCGAACCGACGCTCTACCCACTAGACCACGGAGGCGGCCAAAAAGTGTTTTAAAATGATTCTATTACTCCCATTACAATGTTTTAATTTGGAACTGCAACCTGGAATATTAATATACTTTTTGTGTGTAACGGTTCTGAAAGATCGATAAAGATAACAAAGACGGTGAAATGTACAAGAAGATGCTCAGGTGTTGATATTTGGAACTGATCACTCTGTTGGTAAGCGTGTATATATCTCGGCGTGTGCAGCAAGTTGAGGGAGGCTTTCATCACCACGTGATTCATTACGGTTGACGTCCCATGTCATTGCATCGCCCTGCTTAATGTTTAAGAAAAAACAAGTGGAATAAACAAACATGTTCGCTGAACAAGATGTGGAAATGTGCACGTCCATGTCGCCTTGAAGCTGTAGTGAGTATGTATAAACCCTGGTAATAGATGTGGAGAAACAAACAAGAGCGGCGCGGCGTGGTGAGTAATGTTGCATACTAGAGGAAATGTATGGAGTGGAGAGGAGCGGGGCGGGGGTTTGGAGCGGAGCGGAGTGGAGCAGAGTTGGGTGGAGTGGAATGGAGCGGAGCGGAACGGAGAGGAGTGGAGTGGAATGGAGTGGAGTAGAGCGAGGTAGAGTGGAGCGGAGCGGAGCTGAGCGGAGTGGAATGGAGTGGAGAGGAGCGGGGCGGGGGTTTGGAGCGGAGCGGAGTGGAGCAGAGTTGGGTGGAGTGGAATGGAGTGGAGTGGAGTGGAGTGGAGTGGAGTGGAGCGAAGTAGAGTGGAGCGGAGCGGAGCTGAGCGGAGTGGAATGGAGTGGAGTGGAGCAGAGTATGGTGGAGAGGAATGGAGTGGAAATGAGTGGAGCGGAGTGGAGTGGAGCTTAGCGGAGTGGAATGGAGTGGAGAGGAGTGGAGCTGAGCAGAGTGGAATGGAGTGGAGTGGAGCTTAGCGGAGTGGAATGGAGTGGAATGGAAAGGAGCGGCGCCATGCGGTGTGGAGTGGAGTGGATCGGAGCGGAGCGGCGTGGCGCGACGCGGCGCGGAGAGGAGAGGAGAGGAGAGGAGAGGAGTGGTGTCGGGCGGTCTTGAGAAACACAGGATCAAGCTGTACAACATTCCGTGGAATTGTCTGGTGCTTACAGTGTTGAATACATGTGAGCAGGTCTGATAATACGCACTCTGCTGAACACATCCACAAATAAAACAACATCTAAATGACTATCTTAAAATCTTTGAGCAGAATGTTCACATTCAAGGAGCATAACTTATGAATGAGTCGCTTCTTTCAGCGCCATATACATGTCGTGCGTGCGAAAAGCTATTGCTGTGAAGCTGAAACTGTTAGGGTTTCCATGAATATTAAATAGGAATGCTCGGCAACCTTCACTATCTACGTCAGAGTCCGCCATGCACACACAATACACCGATTTGTTAGCATGGATCATACGTATCCTGTTTCAAGAGGCAGTTGAGTCAATTTAAAAGGGACGTGGACTTACAAATCGTTCACTGCTGACACATGTATGTGTTATCTTCACTCCTTAATACTTTTCTCTTAACATTTTCTTTCCCTATTTTGACTTGCACCATATGTTCGGTGTTTTTTCAAGTGAACAATTGACTTGTCTTTGCATGTGTTTGTGACGGGTGGCAGGATACGCTTACCTTTCGCGAATCATCTCTGTTTGATGGTGGTTCATAAACACATGCTCATGATATAGTTGGAAATGTACAACTGACAATGTTTTTAGCAACGATTGCTTATGATTATGGATAGGATTTGTGGCATTTATATGCAATTGGTTATTTTCTTTCCTTATTTTAACTTGCACCATATGTTACCGGGTTTCTTTTTCATGTGCACAATTGACTTGCCTTTGCATGTGTGTGACGGGTGGCAGGAGACGCCTACCTTTTCGCGAACACCTGGTACCATCTCTGTTTGATGGTTGTTCATAAGGTGAGGTGAGGTGAAATGGGGTTTAACGTCGCGTCCAAGAAAATTGCTCTTATATAGCAATGTGCATCCACGTGTATGTGAGGCTGTTTGTACTGGTCCGGACTTATGTCGACTTTATAATGCTAGTCCACTTAGATACCATGCTGCAATTTGACATGAATACCTCACTCAGACACAGGGTACAGACCCCGAGTGGACCAATCATTGTTTTGGTCCCTTAATGCCGAGTGCCAGGCAGAGTAACAACAAGTACCATCTTTTAACGTCTTTTGGTATGGCGCGGCTGTGGATCGAATCCCGGACCACGGAAGCGGTCTGGTGGTTCATAAACCCCGGACCTTTCGCTCTCCGGGCGGACGCTGTACCGCTAGACCACGGTGGCGGTCTGGTGGTTCATAAACACATGCTCGTGATATAGTCGGAATCATACAATGGACAACACTTGACTATGGATAGGATGTGTCTCTTATATTTGCAATTGATTATTTGCCAGCCAGGTCACCCAGACAGTGTCAAAATAGAAGTAGAAATCAGTGTGTATGATAATTTCTAAATCCCTAACAGAGACGGATCGTGAGAGATGTCTCAGCAGGGGTGGGGGTAGACAAATCAGACAATCTGACAAGGATGGCTGGGAATACCGATTGATTTGTCTTCAATTCAATAATACAACGGTAAACCATGTCAATGACGACCACGTGTGAGCTTCAGAGGGGTGAGTGGGGATAGAATCCACATCCTTAGAGCCGTATAGTTGGGGTCGGTGGTAGTATTGTTTGACCTGGATAGCTGACTGTGGCCTTTCAAACAATAACTCCCACGTGGTTAAGACTGAGCCATCAAGGTACAGTACCATCGAACACTCCTTGGACGATTTCTGCACTACACTTGGTTGCAATCAGCCTGAGCAAACATAACGATGTGTCTTGTAGTATGGATCTCTGTGACACCAGTCTGAAGCCGGATTTTCCCATCCAGGAATACAGGGCGCCCTTTCGAAGCAGGATCCAGATGCATATGATTTCCCACACCCTTGACCATACTTAGCTGTATGATATAATTCTATTTAAAACAACACGATTGGCATGACACAAAGGTGCATATTTCCTATGCATACTATTTTTGATAATTATTCATTACAGTAGTACAGTGATGTAAAAGTGTGACAGCAGCATGTGAACTTAAGCTGTTTTCTAGTGGTGTTTTCAGGTAAACAATTGACTTGCCTTTGCATGTGTGTCTGATTGGGCCATCGGTGGGGCAGGATACGCTCACCTTTTCGCGGATACTATTAAGAAATGCATCTAGTCGGAGTCGAACAAAGGAGAATTATTATGATTATAGAAATGTTTTTTGTCACATTTTTTACAGATACCCTGTCAAGGTCACATGTTAGATGGACTTAGAGCAATCTATGATCGTGCAAAACACGTTAGCGCAAGTACATTTGTGCATGACCACATTCAAAGCATACGGCTGGCGTATAAAATAGTTCCAACGATGTCAAGTCTTCGGGTCGATTTCTATATTCTGGAACCACAACCTACACCTATATTTGAGTGTGGTTATTGCTTCCGAGACAGGTGTCTCTGGATGCCCTGGTCAAGTCTCGATTATTACAGGCCGCCGTCGTATGGCGGGAGTACTGCCGAGCGGCGTTAGGTGACAAACACACACTTACTCTTTGTGCAAATTTGGTTACGGTGGGTTCCACCGGTAGAGCAGGACATGCTTACCCTTTTCGCGAACACCAGCTGATATTCATTGATGGAATAATGATAATTGAGACTGATTACACTTTGTTGTTTTTTCAAATAGTATGTCTTGTTTTGTGACATAGATGTAATTACCTGACATAGGAAGAGTTGTTTCAAGATGTCAAACATCCTAAATGTAAAATTGCCATATTTACCTCCAAATTACCTTAATTGGAACAAAGCGTCCTGTCCAACGTTCAAAGAAAGCCATACTCTATGACACCGAGATGTTTACACAGGCAGTATGTTGTGAAGACTCGTGTCGGAAATTCATCAACCCAAGGACATTTTGTCTGTTTAAAATCGCGTTTTCATCAGGATTTATGTACCAACCAATAAGGCAGCATAAATCATAACATCAACCAATGGTCATCTCTTACAGTGCAATTGCTGCCAGTTCGCCACAAAATATTTATGACTGAGGGTTCTCCGTACCTTATACCTACTTGAAGATCCTTGGCGAAGTTTAATGTAAATATTCCAAATGCCTCATACCTATTACATTGGTAATGTGATGTTTTTGAATGTATTTATTTCCTACACATGTGTTTAAGTATTGCGGCAATGGGGTAAAATTTATGAAGTAATTCCTTTAGCATCAGACCAGATATAGCAAACTGGATTTTAATTCGGACACTGCTATTACGTAATATGTTTGGTTTTCGGGAATGGTATGGCAAAAACATGGATCAAGGAATGAAAACCATTCAGTGAGAATTGCTTGAAAATGATGCTGTAATGGTACGATTAATGATAAACGGCTAATGAATACTTCACGACAGGAGGACGTAGGTATGATATTATGTGATTTAGCATAGCAGAAAACTAAATAACCATTCAAAACATTTTCTAGTAGCATATCGTTAAAATTGTTGAAAAAGGTTAGCAGTGACGTATGTAGCTGACACAATAAAGCTTACACAAATGGTTTACCTCGGAACAGCGAACCCCTTTAGTTCTATATATTGTTATTTTCTCTTTGACGAGAATTATTTTGACACTCGACTGCGGATAAATAGATGTAGTTTCAACTTTGAGTTAACGAATACCCGATTGGCGTGTTCACATCGATACAGACTGGTGAGTGAAGGAGCTTTAAGGCCGCTTAGGAAATATCACTACGGGGGACACCAGAAATTGGCTCCACGCAGATTATAACAATAATCTTTATTTACCCACATTATAATAATATTCTTTATTTTTAGCAAGAGTTACTTTGAGTACCAGGGGATTAAGACGTCATGTCCTACACGACCAGTCTGACGGACGTTTCCTGACAGCATCCCCAGTCACCATGAAACTCGTCATTAAATACCGGACCTTCGTAGAAGCCTGCATTTACCTTACAATCTAACCATGTTAAGAAATATTCCTCAATAGCATTAAGGCCGAAACTATTGACTTTGACTTGCCTTCCACAGTAATCACCGGCCTTGTCCAAACAACCCATTGCAGACTTCTTCACAGACTATCCAGATTTAACGTAGAGGAGAGGGGTTGGGTTCGATACTACCAACTAGCGTTATTGATCGGGTATTGATAAAACCCCAGGTATGTGTAAATATGGGATATTTTATAAGTGCGAGCTGTAGGGTGCTTATTAGTATTTGACATTTGAAGAAGGGTGTTATTATTAATGTTGACGATGAGGAACACACTCGGTGCTTGGTTGCTACTGAATGTCGTCAACAGTATGAATTATACAGGTAAGCAATTATTTTATACACTAAGGTCCATGCTGGCGATTTATCGATTGCTCGGCAATCTGTTGACACATTTTGAAATTGGAAATCTAACGTTCAGCACAAAACATATGATTCATGTTTTCAAAAGTTTTTTATGTGATAGGTTCTTTGAGAGTTGCACATTATTGTGTATATATGTCACTATATGCGGAAAAAGAAAACTCTCTTTCATTTAAAACCCACGTTGTCCTTATAACCATATTTGTATTATTGTCAATGATAAGATATATTTTGATGTAATTTGGGTATACATAGTTGCATTGCTACGTTGGTAGAGTAACCAGTCACCCTAACCAGTCAGCTTCAATATTGATTATAACAATACCGTTAACATGAATATAGACATGTTTTAACGTGAGTGTTTAAAACATCTACACCGTCAAGAACTATGTAGTAAATGTCAGTGTCGTAAACATATATGCC